GTTTCTACATTTGTGTTTTTTGATTTTATTTTTTCCTCCGGAATTGTGTCTCAGTTCCAACACTTTTATTTTCCATGGCTGGCAGGGCCGTGTGTTTGTGAGAGCCTGCAGGAGAAGCGGTGCGCGGGGCAAGGGTCGGGAGAAAGGTTGCATGTTGTTTTTGCTTTTTATTTATGTTTTCCAACTCCTTTTCCTTTTCGTGCTGCACGAGAGGCGGGTGGATGACGCTTTCCGTCCCTATATTTTGCTACCACTTTTGGTACTTGGGGAGGACGGGGAGTCGCGTCTCACTCGTTTGTGCCAACTGACCTGACATGTGTGCGGCCGCGAAGGCAAGACGGCGAATGCACATCATGTTGCTCTTTTGCTGCTTCTCCTTTTGGTTTAAAGGGAAAGGCAGGGCATGGGGTGCGTGTTCATCTGTGGAGGAGGCGAGACAGCACCCCATCACTTACCTGCCTTTTCTTCTGCGTACGGCCATATTTCCCGCACGTCCAGCCGCATCGCCAGCGCTCCTGCCGTTCAAAATCTTGCATTGCAGTGTTGTGTTTTTTTCATTTTATTTCTCTTATTCGCAAGAAAGTGACAGGGCTTGAAGGAAAAGGGAATAAAGGTCAGCTCGAAGGAAGGCAACCGCGGGACACGAGGTACAGGGAAGAGGAGGCAAGGGCAGGCGTGAAAATGGTGCTTGGTTTTAATGACCGGTTGGCGGTGCCAAAGTCGATCAGCGAGCCACAGCGCTTTGGTTTTGTGGTTTGTGGCATGTTCTGCGCCATCGCGTCCGGTGCTATCTACGCCTTCTCCCTTATCTCCGGCAAAATGACGAATGACTACGGCTTCACCCAGAACGATATCACCACAGTTTCCACTGTTGGTATTGTGTTTGGATACTTTACGCTTCCCTACGGCTTTATCTTTGATTACATCGGACCAAAGCCCATCTTTGTGATAGGCATGGTTGCATACGGGTTGGGCTCAGCACTGTTTGCGCTGACGTTTGAGAACAAAATTGGACACAGTGTGGCGAGTCTTTCGGCCATCAATGCGATCATGAACATTGGCTGCAACATGTTTGACATGGGCGCCATCCTGTCTATCCTCAGCTGGTTTCCTCTCGACCGCGGTCTCCTGGTGGCCTCTGTCAAGACGATGACGGGATTGTCAGGCTCTGTCATTGCGACGCTGTACGACACGTACTTCTCAGGTCAACACTCCACGTTCATGTTATTCCTCCTTGCGCTGTTTATGGTGATTGGGTTGGTGGCGTTTTTCTACATTCAGATCCCTCCGTACCACATGACCGGTCACAGGATCAAACACTACACGGAGGAGGAGCACGGCGTGGCACGGCGCGTGGAACACATGTACCTCATCAAGAAGGCCTCTCGGCGCCGCTTCCTCGTGCTGTTCCTGATTGTCTTGGGCCTCCTCATCGTGATCACGGCTCAGAGTGTTGCCTTTGTTTTTGTGACGGGTGGAGTGCCGTTCGAGAATAGAAACCCACCCGCAATCATTATGGTGGTTCTGTATTTGTCGCTTATCTTTGCAGTGCTGCCGTGGAGTTGGCTTGACAAGCCGTTGAGAGGAGGCAGCAAGCCCACGAACAGCGCCAGGGAACCAGTTGACCACTCTACGAGCAACGGCAACAACAACAACGACGACGACTCCAACGAGGGTAATGGAGCCGATCAGAGTGAGAATATTGCGGACAACGGTTTTGAGGAGCCCAGGAAGGAGGTAATGAATGAGTCCATGGATGATGCGCAACTCTTCTCCAATGACGATATGAATTTTCCGCAGTACAAGACCGGATTCTTTCACAACGTCCTTCACAATGTTCCGCTGTGGTGTGTATGGTTGCACGCTGTTATTGTGTCCGGTGGCGTGCATATTGTAATGCTCAATAGTCGTCAGATATTTGTGGCGGTATCTGAAGACCCGAATAGCGAACAGCTTCCCGCCCTGTACGTCGCTCTGACAAGTGTCGGCAACGCCATTGGTCGTCTCGGTGTCAGTTTCTTCGAGGCATGGAATGCAAGCCGGCCGCTCGAGAAGCGGACGCCCGTGACTATCAC